AACCTGCGAGGTCTCCTCTTCCAAGCCTCTGCTTTTCTCTTTTACTTGTTTGATTTTCTAGCTTTTGGGAAAAAAAAAGCATGGCCCAAGAGCAGTGCTGAGCACCCCGAGCACTGGGGCCTTGCATACGGTCTCTAGAAGGGACAGACCCCTCCAGCACAGATGCACTTTCCTGTGGGCCCCGACTGCCCCTGTCCCTCACACGCTGGCAGCAGGACAGCATTTCAGAGACCAGTGAGCTCAACCTGGCTTTCCTTGGGGCTCTTTGTACCACTGCTGATGACATCATGGGAAAAGAACCAAAACCAAGAAAAAGGCTTTAGCAGTGCAAAGAGCCCAAATGCCAGGTCACAACGCCTGCTTTTGGGAATCCACAGTAGAAACACTTTTTGCAAATGTCAGCATGATACAACAGATAATGTCACTGCTCCTATCCCCCCCAGTCTGCTTTTATACGCCCAGCATGGCCAGGAGCTGAGCTGGGTGGGTGAGGAGATGCCGGCCTTTGGTAGAGTTGGCTTTGTTGCCTTTCAATTTTATGCATCTCTCCCTATGGATCAGGGCCTCGCCCCCGAAATGCCGTGTGCAGGCAGCCTGCGAGGGCTACCCTTTGAGCCCAGCTCGAGCATGATGACCCCTGAATGAAGACCACCTCAGGTCAGGTCTCAGGCAGCGCTGGCCTGGGTCACACTCAACCTCACCGTGGGACCAGGGCCACTCAGGAGGGCACCCAGCAGCAGTGTCCCTGGGCTCTGCAGTTCTGCCTCTCTAAGGAGTGAAGAAATAAGCTTTGATTGTTGTTTAAATGTTGTCATCTCTGAACTGTGTAGCCACAAGTATCCCGTGTGACTAATTTCATTCTTCTCTAAGCCCAAGGGTCTCATGAGACAAGCAGAGACTTGACCGTATGGCATTTACCGTACCACGTTTGTGCTGATAAAAATTGCAATGAGGAAATGTTTTGCTGGATACTACCTCATGCAAAAGAGATGGCACGGCATCACTGATCAGCCTGGGCCCGGAGTTGTCTAGAACAATGGAACTAACAATGCTGTAGTCTTTCAGTCTAAATAGTTTAACAGGTAATATTTTATTTAAGGTAGTTCTCAAAAAAATAGAGCAATAATCAGAGACATAGCAAAATCCAGTAACAAGTCAAAACTGCTAGTTAAATAATTCATTAGCTTACACCACCACGTACCATCACAACAGAGTTTCTCCTGGATCTGGTAAGACATTTCAATTGGAAGTGGAATGGTTTTGAAGCTCTTTTCAAACCCCAAAAGAAAAGCTTCATTCTAACTACTGAGGGAGTTTGAGAAGTTCACAATTTTGAGCTTTATCCTCAAAAGAAAAATCTCCATTCAGGGTGAGAAATTTAGCTCATTTGATGTTGAATCATTTATTGCATTTAAGTTGAGGTTTTTGGATGAGACAAAGATAAACAAATACCAGGAGTTTAATAACAGACAGAGATTTTGGTTGATCTTTTTTTCTCTCTTTTTCGTGATGGCCACTTTTGTGACATAAGTGATAATAAAGCTTACAGAGTCCCAGAGCTTCTTTCCAATTGATGTGGGTTTTGCTTTACCTCTAATTAAAATGTGGAACAATAGTTTCCTGCTTAGCATCATTCAGAATAACTTCCTTTTAAAATCAGTATTTTCACACGTTAGATGAAAAAAATCACTCTGAGATAACATTTTGTGTGCTGAATTAATTAACAGAAAAGCAAATTAATGTACTTCTGTAGTAGAAATCAATAGTCTTGAAAAATTAAAAGGTCTCTTTTGCTATCAACTCAGTTTCATGGGTGTAGCTAACAATGCAAAATGCCAATGTATGAGAAAAATGCAATCTCCACTCTTCTACCAGGCACTGGTGGTATATGAAGTACGTCCCTTGGTGATCATTTTACACTCTTGAGAGTAGAAAAGTTTACACTGCCCAATATAGGAAATAAAATTCAATGGCATCAAGGAACAGCTAACATTATGCATACATTAAAAAGTATAGGTATTACCAGTTCTGTAATAGCTAGGTTTTTCCTAGTGGCTGTAAATTTGACTCAGTGCTGAGCCTGGTTAAATAGAAAATTGAATAAATGCCTACATTTTTAATTAGAAAAGTATGAATGGCAATGCAGAGAACTTGAAAAGGGCCAACGTTAAACTGTCTCCTAATGCGGAGATGGGGGTGGCCTGGGTGATCACCTCAGTGCCCTGAGATTGCAGGATGGCACCAGGGATGGCTGTGTCTGTGGGCAACATGGAGGAAAACCAGGGCTTTGGTTTACTCTGACCTGAACTTGTTTATTCAAAGATTCAAACCTGTCACAGGATCTGACTGACTCTCCTTGACCTCACGGAGGAAAATGTTGGTACAAGTTTGTTCCTGAATGTTGTGGTTTAACTCCAACCAGCAAAATACTATGAAGACACTTGCATACCTCCCCACTTCCTCCAGCAGAGAGGGAGAATCAGAGGAAAAAGACAAGGAAGCTCATAAAATTGAGGTAAGAACTACTCAACAATTGAATATTAGTGAATAAAATATATATTAAAATGAACATATAATACTGCTAATTATAAGTAATCAAAATAATAGAAAATAGAACATACATGGTTGCTCATCACCTGCCAACCAATGCACAACCAGGTCCTGAGAAGTGAGAGTCAGAGTCAGTGAGACCGAGAGCCACAGCCCGAGAGCGATCACAGCCCAAGAGTGACCACAGGCCAAGAGCTGCAGCCCGAGAGCGATCACAGCCCGAGAGCCAGAGCACAAGAGTGATGGCAGTGGAGTCCAAGCAAGCCCCACGAGCAACAGCATGACCGGAAAAGCCAACCGACCCACCATCTCACTAATGAACGAGCCAGCAGAGGAGTTAGCAAAGCAGCTAACGAAGGAGTTAGTGAAGGTGTTAAGGAGCCAACAGAAGACTTAAGGGTAAAAGGGTAAAAAGAGTTAAGGAATTCACAAGAGTGTGATGGCCCCCGAGCCCACTCCCCACTTAAGTACTGAGCATGACGTGCTATGGAGTGAAATCCCCCTTCGGTCAGTTTGGGTCGGCTGTCTGAACTGTGTGTCCCCTGCACTGCCTGTAGCGAGAGAGAGTTGGGAACGCAGCTGCAGTATCAGCAGCTGAGAGAGACCTTGAATTCGGTGCAGGCACTCCCCAGCACCAGCTAAAAACACACCTTATCCGTACTTTTCTCAGGGTAAATCCAGAAACAGCTTCATACCAGCCACGGTGAAGAGAGTTAACTCTTTCCTAACTAAACCCTGCACACTGAAGAACTCTTCATTCCTTGTCTGAGAAAATAATTACGAGAGAAAGCCTGTTTGGAGAGGTCTTCCGTGTATTACGTGGGTGGCACTGTGGGAAGTAAATGAGGTGGCGCTCCATTCAGCAATTGCACCACTCTGGACAATGAATCGGTTTGCAATTGCTACTGCTTCTGTAACAGGGACATAACCCCACTGCTAATTGCTAAGGGTGGATTCTCTAAGGTACAGGTTAATTCAGTTAGTCATAGAAAACAGCTTGACAAAAAAGTAACATTTATCTGGCAGCTATTGCGAACGTGACCAGAATAACAGCCTGCAGCAGTTTATTAAGCAGCAGGGTGTCTCTTACTGATTTCTTCAGCAATCAGTTGCAAGCCAGCAACTAAGCACCACACAGCCGCTCACTCACTCCCCCCATGGCAGAATGGAGAGAGCAATGGAAAAGTAAAAGTAAGAAAACTTGTGGGTTGAGATAAAGACAGTTTAACAGGTAAAGCAAAAGCCATGCACACAATCAAATTAACACACAGAATTCATTCCCCACTCCCCATGGGCAGGCAGGTGTTCAGCCATCCCCAGGAAAGCAGGGCTCTGTCACACGTAACGGTGACTTGGGAAGACAAACGCCATCACTCTGATCATCCCCCCCTTCCATCTTCCCCCAGCTCTATAAGCTGAGCATGACGCCAGATGGTGTGGAATATCCCTTTGGGGTCAGCTGTCCCAGCTGTGTCCCCTCCCAGCTTCTTGTGCCCCCCCAGCCTCCTCGCTGCTGGGGTGGGCTGCGGAGCAGCAAAGGCCTTGACTCTGTGTAAGCACTGCTGAGCAGCAACCAAAAAGTCCCTGTGTTATCAACACTGGTACCAGCACAAATCCAAAACGCAGCCCCCTGCCAGCTACTATGGAGAAAATTAACTCTGTCCCAGCCAAAACCAGCAAAATCCAGCACGTTTTTTGCATCTAAAATAGAGATTACAATACCTGCTAGATGCATTTACATTTGCCAAGTGTCTTCAGATCCTCTGCTGAAATGCAACTCATGGTTAAAAGGATCACGCTAGGCTGTGGTTTTGCCTGCTGTAACTTTCAACCGACCTGCTGGCAGCTTTATCCGAACACCACCCTGGTCCCAACAGGCCTGCTTCCATCCACACATCAATCTGTGCACATGAAACAGCTTCATGGATGTGCCTGGTTTGGTGGGGGAACGGCTCATTTTTAAATGGAGCAAACCCGTAAATGGTAGGTTACAAAGGACTTCATCAGTGAAGGCAACTGCTTATGCATTTTATCCTGTCAAAACTCAGGGATACTTTATTACTTTGGGTGAAATAAGCTCATACTGACAAACCTTTTGAAGGTTTTTTGAAGTTTTTTATGGTTTTTTTTTTGAAGTTCAAAGTCCTTTTGAAGTTTTCCCAGAATAGTCAGGGAAAGGCACAGAAAAAATGAATTAATCCCCTCTATGTTTAAACAATCAAATATGCAACAAATTGTAAATGGCAGAGCCACCTTCCAGGAAAGGAAAGCCTTCTCCTCACCATCACCTTATTACCTACGCAGAGCTCCAGATAAGTTGTCTGCTAGGCTGACCTTTGCCTCCTCATTTCCATGCTGTAATCATTAATGAACTATCCCTGAAATGGAAGGGTGAGTGTACAGTCTGGATATTGTTCAGAGCTGGCTGGGGAAACAAGAAGCTACAGAAAATGTCCAGCAGGTATCACAAAGCAGCAGCTGATGGCAATTTGGACCTCTTGAAAGAAGCCACTAGGAAAGACCTCAATACTTCAGATGAAGACGGGATGACACCCACCCTTCTGGCAGCATACCATGGGTATCTGGAAGCTCTGGAAGTCATATGTCGGAGAGGGTAAGTCAATCAGCCTCCATTGCTTAAAATTTGTGGCTTAAAACTATAATTAGTGAGTCACTTTTCTAATGCCCCAATGACCTCAGACCCAAAGGCTGAAAATCACAGTCATTTATAGAATCACAGACTGGTTTGGGTTGGGAGGATCATTAAAGCCCATCCAGTTCCAACCCCCCTGCCATGGGCAGGGACACCTTCCACTAGACCAGGTTGCTCCAAGCCTCATCCAGCCTGGCCTTGAACACTTCCAGGGATGGGGCATCCCCAGCTTCTCTGGGCAACCTGTCCCAGTGCCTCCCCCCCCTCTCTGGGAAGAACTTCTTCCTGATATCTAATCTAAACCTCCCTGTTTTCAATTTAAACCCGTTACCCCTTGTCCTGTCACTACAGGCCCTTGTAAAAAGTCCCCCCCCAGCTTCCCTGTAGCCCCTTCAGGTACTGGGAGGTGCTGTAAGGCTGCTACATTTCTTGCAATGCCTTGCCAGGAATTGTGTCTCTTCATTTGCAAAGGCCCAGAACCTGCGAGCAGGTCTGTACATACTCTCGGTGCAGCCGCATCAACGTCAGCAGGACCGTCTCGTACATGGAGTCTTTAGGAAGTGGTTAGTAGGAGCAGGGCCCAGGGATCTCACATCGCTCCAGTGGTGGTGAAGTTGGCTGACAACCTTTGTTTCTAACATATCTTTGAAACTGGCTCTAGAGAAATGCATTGTTTGAAACATTTTTCACAAAAAAATTTCTCCCATTTGCTTCCAAACCCGTGGTTTAGTGCTTTCCACAGGTAATTCACAACAAACTGTTTCGAGACAGTAATGTCTAAAATTGTTATTTCTCTGCTTTTTATAGTATTAGCAACTACCATCCCGATAAAAATGATAATACTGTTTCAGAAGCTGGGATACGATACTTGGAAAGCTGGAAAAAAAATTATAGGAAGGTTTTCTACAGGTATATTTTCTAATAGAAATATTTCTGTTTGTTATCATTTAAGTGTACTACATGCTTAAAATGTATTATTTGTCACTGAACTGGTAATTGTCTCCCCACCCTCTGTACTCTCTTGCTTCAAGCCTCCCTTTTAAGCTGTGATTCTATAAAAAGAGCTAATAAAATCTGCTCCTGTGTAGAGATATGGTTAATAAAATATTCCTTCTGGGCTGAGAGGAAGATTAAGTTGACCTGTATTTTCAATCATAATAGCTGAAAGAAGATTGGAGGGGAAAGTTGAGTAACTATTTGGGTGTCTCTGAGTTTTATTAAAAACAGAATTGAAAATATGGAATAAAAATAGGCTTTACATAGATTTGCTTTGTAGCTCACTGAGCCCAGGTGTGGCTGTAATTGCACAATAAAAAAGACCTTTGGACTGCACGGTCACTGCTGTGTCCCCAGGAGAAGAAAAAAAGAGGTTGACAGTTCTTCAACTCTTATCATTTAGGCAGCTTCAAGGAAATATCTGCCCCACAATAGTTTGTCCCTGAACACCTAGAAGACAGAGTAACTAGCTAAGTAACAAATAGCAAAATTTTTTTTTTTTTCAAAATTTGAATTAAAAACATGCCTTCTATCATATGACCTGATAGAAGTCACAGGGGATGACACAAACACCAGAATTTCTAAGTATTTTTTTATTTAAGGTATTTCTAACCCTTTTATCTTGGTAGATGACAGCTTTGGGACAGTATTGCCCTCAAAGTCTTCAAACATACGCATTCACCTCTATTTGAATCCAAGATTTCTTGATGCAATCAGCAAGCTGGGGCTGTCAGAAATACGGCTGTAGCCTCACTGGTTTTCTTGGGAGAAGCTGAATTTTGGAAGACATTCAACCTGTTCTGTAGTCAGCTAATTTTCTCGTGAGAAAGTATTTTCATTGTTTTTAACAACTTCATTCTTTCCTTGAAGAGGTTTCTTGACAAAGGCAGTGAGGTACAGGATGGTTTTCTTGAGAGTGGTTGCAGATTTTACTGACTCTGAACTTGCAACACATTCAAACCCTTGGAAAAACACCGCAAGACTAACAAATAAACCCTTTCCTCTTGAAATAGTTTATCTTCCCAGGCATCAAGAGACCTTTCCTCTGCTCGCTTTGCATGTACATGAATAAAGGCAAGACCAAGTAACAGATCTGCTCTCTTTTGTGTGAGCATCTTCCTTGGGAAAGCAGGGAAAGAAGAGTATGAGAACCCAAAGCAGAAGCCGAACCCTATCCGAAGTCCGACTGAGCTGGAAACAGGCACTCTAGTTTGTCAATTGTTTGAGGCTCAAAGGCTGGCAGGCTCCACGGGGTAGAGAGACCACAAACAGCTATGAGGGGACCTGGGGGAGGCTGGATGACCCGGCACTCCCAAGGCTCAGGATAATGTAGCCTGTTTGTTAATGTGGGAATTGAGGAATCCGGCATGCTCGGCTGCAGTCAGGCAGTTCCCCAGGGCAGAGACACAAAAGCAGAAATATATACACATGGTTTCCATATTTCCAAGTGGGGAAACTTTGATCCTCAGCTGCCACCTCCCTGTAGAAACGCCTGTGCCCTCGCAGCCTGGCGTGCTCAGACTTGCCATTGTTTCTCAAGACGAGCAGCCCCATGTCTCGTCTCCAACCTCTCTCTTGCCTGTGGCATTTCAGGCTGAAGGATGTTTTCAGATTTGGCCCTCAACAAATACGTTAGTTCTTTTCTTCAGAGATACTCAAAGCCAGAGATGAATGCCTGAAGGAGATTTTGTGCTAGGATGTATCATTTCATTCATAGTACAGCTGCCATGGAACAAACCTCCAAGACACTGACCTGCCTAAACTCCCAAGAGCAGAAATTCTGCCAAGAATTTGGTAACTGGCTCTGAAGTCATTAAAGGTTGTGGGCCACTGTGGCTGCTTTGGTTATTGGTCACAGAGGACTCAAGCTCTCTTCTGAACCACTGCTAATGCTGATCCTGCCAAATACAAATTAAAAGATTCAAGCCAATTCTTGTCTGCAGGCAGCAGTCAGGGCAAGAGTTAAAAAGAAAGCAGTACTTTTCACTGGATTTAAATTCACATGAAAAGACGTAACATTTTATTTTCAAATTAACTTCTGCTTTTCAAACCCCTTGAGCAAAAGCAGCTTAAAGAGAACAAAAGAGCTGAAGAAAATCAACGGCATCTCTCTGAGATTAATCTAATAGCGGTGGAGACAAGTGTGTGATCAGGGCTTTGCTCCTAATCATTTATCTACTACCTACCAAAAATGTTACTGCATGGGCTCATTAAATATGTATCACTGTGGCCAGTGAAGAATCCTCCTAATATTGTCCCTGCATTTGACATGCAGATGGGAAGAGTCACCAAAAAGCCTTTAAAATATTCCACCCAGAAGCTACTGAAACAATTCTGCCATTAATTCCAATGAGTGCAAGTTGAAGCCCGAGCCCACAGACAGGCAGGAATTATGGCTTACGCCACACACAACCAACCTCAATGCTGGGGTAAGTAGGTGCAGCACCATCCTGAGGATGGAGCTAAGGGGACTCATTTGCATTGGGCTGTACTCCTTGTAGCAAAGCTGAGCTAAAGATTTTTTGTTCAATCCCACTGCAGCGCTGTGCTTGGGTACGTCCAGCTCACTGTATGCTATTTTCCTTCTCAGAGGTGATCCCGACAAGTGTGACATCTGGGGGAACACTCCTCTCCACCACGCCGCTTGCAATGGCCATATCCATTGCGTTTCTTTTCTGATCAACTTCGGTGCCAATATATTTGCCCTGGACAATGACCTCCGCACTCCGCTGGAGGTGGCTGCCAGCAGAGACCGCAGTGAATGTGTCCGAATCCTGGACAAAGCTGCCACCGAGCAGAACATGCTGAACCCAAAGAAGGTCTCCAAACTCAAAGCACAGGCCCAGAGGAATGTGGAGAAACAAATCAAGGAATGCGAGAAGCGCCAAGAGAAACACCAGCATGAAATGAGCAGAAATTATATGAAAGAAAAGGTTGGCACAGTAAATTCTTCCAGAGGAACGCATTCCAGAGTGAAGTTGCCTAGTCTCTTTGCTTCAAATACAAGTCCTCTCTCCAAAAATCTGAAAGATACCTTCAAACTAAAGGCAAAAAAGACAGCTGACAGCACAAAAAGCCAGAAAACGGAAAACAGTTACCAAGAGGATGATACAGGTAGGAGAACTGTGATGCATTTGTTTGATGAGAAAGAGGAGGATGAGTTACTGACCAACCTTGGAGAGAAAACCTTTTCTGACAATGACAGTCAGCTCTCCATTTTTAAGCGACCAGGTCTTGGCAAGATTGTATTTGGAAGGAATTTGGCTGCAGATGTAAATCCTGGAACTGTGTCTTCTGAGAAAGAAAGTATAAGCTTTCAAATGTCCAGTGAGCTCTTTCAGTATAAAAATGCTGAGAACAGCAAGGAAGAAGATGCTGAAAATGGCAGTGATATCCCTTGGCACGAGGAAGAAGTAATTTGGGATGATGAGGAGGCAGAGAACACGCCCCTTGAGGTATTTCTGGCATCACAGATGCTGGATGAATTTCTTCCGGTGTTCATGAGGGAAAAAATTGATTTAGATGCCCTGATGCTATGTTCTGATGAAGATCTACAGAGTATTCAGATGGAGCTTGGGCCAAGAAAGAAAGTCCTGAATGCTGTGAACAGAAGAAAAGCAGCACTCAAGAACCCTGGAAAGACTGTAGATACTTGCTTGTAAATTAACATCCCTGTTGTGTAACCTGCACACCGATTCATTCTTCTCCTCCTTCCAAAGAGTATGCAATTCTTTCCAGACATCTGCTAAAGCAAAAGGCACAGAGCTTACCAATTGCTTCAGGAAGTACAGCAAAGACAAAGATTTTTCTCTCTGGAGAGACGGCTGTGGCCTGCAGAATATTAATTCAAGCATACTCTGTTAAAAAGAAAGAATGTAACAGGTAAAAACCCAAAAGCTATAGATTTAAACCTTTTTCTCCCTGAACTGTTCATGGGGATTGTATTTCTACCTGTTGGAATAACTTAAAATATTAGTGAAGGCCAGCCACACCACATTCCTTAATAAAGCACCTCCCTTCTCCAAAACCACAGTGCCAAGAGAACTCCCAAAGCTTGAGAGCTTTGAGTTTTCTCCATTCGCTCCTGTTAGACTGCTACAACCTGGTACTGATGCCATGTTAGAAACAGCATCTGAATCTTGGTTTCTGCTACGGCTTTTTTACTCCAACAGCCTCTGAATGAATGTAAAGAAGAATAATTTACAGCGACTTTGGTGTTCTTCTCAGTAAAGTATTTTGCTACCGTACTAATATTAATTTAAAAATACATGAAGTAACTTGCTAAGAGATGTTTGGTGTGAGTTGTATATTCTTTTCTCTTGTCTTACTAGACTGAACCCAGTTGCCAGCACCCACCATGTCCTAAATGGCATCAAGACTGCAATACTTTTAACGATAAGAAGCCGAGGGTTTATTTTCAACATTTTTTATCTGGTTTGGTATATCTTTAGCTTGGTTCCTACAGGGTATATTTGCCATATGAAGCCCCAGAAACCAGGACTCATCATCCAGCATTTTCTGTTGGTGGCAGTCAGTCTCAGCCTGACAGCTGCATGTAATGCACACGCCCGCGACTGTGCTTCTGCAGAAGCTCCTGCTCCTCACAGTCTATCCGGAGGCACTCGCAGCAGCGTTCCTTTCATCTCTCTTGGGCCTGTTCCCTTGGGAAGACAGCACTGTGATATTAATTAATCACTCCTATTGAGCTTTGTGAATCTAGTAAGGTGCTTGCAGCACTCTTGCTCTGCCCAAGATCTCAGACTTCAGAGGCACAATTGTTAGCAGGACTTTTATCCGTAAATCTCTTTTTATAGCTTCCCATTAGTCAGCTATCATTTTCTTCCTTAGGGGTGTACTGCATTTGTGGACAGTAATCCTTGTTAATAATCTATTTGTCATGCTTCCTTCTTGCCACATCTCCTTCTTGTTACTTTGATCTGTATATTCTAATTCCTTTTCTTGGCTGGACTTTATACTGCATTCTTTCCTCCCTGGACTCCTGAACTTCACCAGGCTGAGATTTTCTTCTCTTAGGCAGTCACATCAGACTCCTGCTGTACACAACCTGAAACGATGGTGGTGCTTAGCACAGCATCCCCCGAGACTGCATTATTAACCTGCTGGGTTGTTTTTTATTTTGGCTAAGAAATGCCCAAGTGTTTAACAAAGCAAGAAGGAAATGATGAATCTTTCATATTTGAAGGCATACGACGAGTGGATTTTGAATGGTCAAATCCTATCATTCCCAGTCACACAACTGAAGTATTTGCTGGTTCTTTACTTGCTCCAATGCTTGTGACCTGCCCACAACACACCATCAAAACATCAGTGGGTGGTGTCACTCAGGGGACCTGTCCAATAACGGCCATTAGCACAGAACAGCTTCAGCCGTTGCCCAGCATCTTGAATTGCACTGAAAATCTGCCTCGCTGCATACTCATCTGTAAATGAGCCTGACTGCTGCGACCTCTGACAGCCAGAGACAGTGGCAGAGACTGTCTGCACAGAAACTGATGGGCTCAGTTGTCACAAGCATCCAGCATGTTCTGGTATGTTCTAGGTATCCACAATAACTCTACGGAGCTACCAGGTTGTCGTGGTTTAACT